AGGGGGGCGGCCAAGCCGCGTGTGATTCCGATGGCGCTGCTGCAGGGAGAGCGGCGAGCTGTTGTCTCTAGATGTCATGTATGGTAACCTGAAGGGTTATCTGCAGTAACAAACAGAAAGGGGGGTTACACACGTGGCTTTACTACTGTTAACAGTTGCAGCATTAAAAGTCTTTGTTCCCTTTAAAATGACGTACTCTCTAAAAGTCAGCTCCTCGCACGCAACCACTGACATTTTCAGCAGTTACACAGTTACTAATTACACACATTTGATGTCATGTATGGTAACCTGAAGGGTTATCTGCAGTAACAAACAGAAAGGGGGGTTACACACGTGGCTTTACTACTGTTAACAGTTGCAGCATTAAAAGTCTTTGTTCCCTTTAAAATGACGTACTCTCTAAAAGTCAGCTCCTCGCACGCAACCACTGACATTTTCAGCAGTTACACAGTTACTAATTACACACATTTGAACATCCCTAATCCCTGCCTGACAGGCCCCGCGCTGGGACCATGTGTGCTTCTGTGCCGTGAGCTCCATGCTTGTGCCTCTATGTACTGCCCCTAGCACAGTCTCACGGCTTCCATTGGTTGGAAACTGGCCAATGGGAGTCAACAAGCATGTGGCAGAGAAACAAACATGGCCCTAGCAGCCAGTTACTTTGAGCAGTGTGTGGGGTATGACAGGCAGGGAGCCTGACCAAGAGTCCTGCTGGGATGCTGGTCATGAGACACTTAGGATAAGCATTTCCTGGCTAGATCTGTGCCTGGCACCCTACTTCTGCACACAACCCCTCTGTCCAAGACTCTGTACCCTCTCCAAAACCTTTTCTCCAGGTCAGAATCCTCTCCTGCAGTCATACTCCCTCCCAGATTCTGCACCCCAATCTCCTGCCCCAGGTCACAACCTCCTCCTTCACCCAAACTCCATCCCAGACACCACACCCCTTGCTGTACCCCAATCCCCTACTCCGAGGTCCCTTCTGCACCAAACCTCCATCCCAGACCCCACATTTCCTCCATTAGCATGGAAGAATATGGCTCTTGACCACTTACCAAATTCTTGGAGTACCCCTACCTGAATCTAGCATCATGTCCCTGCACAGGGAATATGACACCATCCACTCTGCAATCAACCATCTCTTTTTGGCCAAGCTGGGTACAAATGAGACACTTATACATCCTTATGCAGGTCTGTAGATACAGAGGTGAATGCAGTATGATAATTCAAATTGAACAGAGTACATATCATCTTTATCTCTTTCTTTCTTCCAGTTAAAAAGATGGCAGATTATGAAAATCAGTCGTCGTCAGAGTCTGAGTCAGAAGAATCTGTCATCACCGACAAAGAGGTAAACTTCATACCAACAGGCTTGAAAAATATAGAAGACCCTCACAATTTGCAGAATTGTTATTTGCAATTCTGCATATTTGTGGGTGTCTCCTGGCGAGGGATGTACTTGTGTAGTTGACTAAATGATTAACACGCTTATCAGTTAACATTATCTACTACACGCCACACTCCCCTCCCCATCTCCTTTAAGGTTTAGCAGGCTGGTTCAGTCCCAGCTCCCACCTGGTATCAATCCCTGTGACAGCTCTTAGTGCTTATAGTGCAGAGCCGCAGTGGGGATTGATACTGGGTCCTGGTGCAAGCTGGGACTGAGCCAGTCTGCCCGCATGCCGGCTTTTAGTGCCAGGACCGGTATCAACCCCCCCCTTGCCACTTTGCAGTACAAGTGCTTGTAGTGCAGAGCCACAGGAGGGGTAGTTGGTGGATTGAGTGGTAACAGTGCTATCCCTTATCAATTAGTTGTGTAGTCAACAAAGTTTTTGTTTACTACACATTTAACAGATTTACTCGCTTCTTAATATCCTTACTCCAGGCTTGAGTGGGACACGGGGGCCAGCAGCCATAGGGGACTTACCTTGGCTCCCGGCCTCTGCAGTGAACTCACAGTAGTGAGTTCCATGGTGAGTTTGGAGGTGACTGGGAGCAGTGACTCCCAGCATTGGTGAATTTCGCCATTCGCAGTGGTGCCAAGAATGCAGCTACGGCAAATTGCAAGGGTTTCCTGTATTTCTCAATGCTGTGTGGGGAAAAAGAGAGAGAATGCAGATGAGAACACATAACACTATACGAGGAAAGGAGTTGTGGTAGAGGGATAAGTTACAATGTCAAGCATCCCCTATTAGACTAGCAATGTTCCACCACAGCATACTGCAGGGGTGGGCAATAATTTTTAGTGGAGGGTGGGGGCGGCATTCCAAGAGTTTGGTAAGTGGTCATGGACTACACTTCTATGGAGGGGTCAAAATGTTGTACCAATAAAAGCAAGCGGGATCTTATGAGAGGGATAAGGCAAAAAGCCACATTTATTGTAAAGATAAGAATAAAGAATAAAGAAAAGATAGAAGCAAACAACGTTTTTTAACTACTTATTCCTATCACTACTTAACCTTTATACATATACATATACATATACATATATATAAACATTCATTCAATCATTCATCCATTCATTCAAGTTCTATGTATTTGTTATAGTTACCAGCCTGGAAGTTGCTTGTGACAGAATACTGGCCAGGTATTCTGTACACAAGTGATGGTAGTGGGGAGCGAAGTCCTGATCAGATGCACATCTGAAGCTCCTGGTAGGCTGTCAGCAGAACCTTGGACTCTGACTCCATAGTCTTTTAGTCCAGTTCTTATAGGAATTTCTTCCTATGCCAGTCTATGGAAATTGCTGCATCATGCTGATGTCCAGGGTGGTTGTCAGGTGCTTGTCAGTAATCTCATAGGGTGGACCTCCAGTACTTGGTTTTCTCCACTTGACACCTTTTGGTTGCACTGGCACCTGACGCCTTCTTCAGCCCTTTGTTGCTGCATTCTCAGGCTGGCACCTCTCAAAACCATTCATTCATCATCCAAGCACTCTCTCTCTTACATACATTCCCTAATTAATGTTTCACATACAGTATTTTGTATAATAATAACTTTACATATACAAGAGTTGTAGTTACAAAAAGTCACAAAAGTTTCTGGGTGGCATTTCTTAAAACATTCTCTCTCTGAGTGCTGAGTTAGTTACTGTTATAGTTACAATGTTTCACTTTGCGATTAGGGTTAATTGCTTCACAATGCTTTGAAGAGAATGGGCGTCAATTGTGTAACAATAAGTTTGAGCGTGCCCTGGGACACAGAGAGGGGAGCTGTTTCTGGCTACATAGTATTATATTTTTAACAGTTTTAAGTTACATGACCTAATATTATATTCTTAACAAATTATATTCTAGAGGGGCAATAATTATAAATCTAAACATTTAACAATCTTAACAAATAGTAATAATAATAATAATAAATCTAAACACTTATCAAGCTTGATAACACTAAATCTAAACATTTATATGGTTCTTCTACTTAACAAACTTATATTACTTAGACTTTTACTTGTGGGAAACAAATTATGGGGAGTCACTTCCACTTGGGGGAATCATTTTTAATACTTTAATATGTTATCCCTACAATAGGTCTGGGACAAAAGATCGGTACAGAAGGAAGCTTGGGATAGAGGACTGGAGTTTAGGAGGGGGTGTGGGGCCTTAGGGGGTTTAGATGAAGGAGGGGGTTATGATCTGGAGCAGGGGTTTGGGAGTGGAGGGTCCATGAAGGGGTATGGGTGCAGGAGAAGATTCTGGCCTGTAGGAGGGGGACGCAGGGTCTGGAAGGGAGTTGTGACCCTGGGTAGAGGGGATAGAGGATTTGGGTGGTGACCTGAGGGAGATGGGAGGGAGGGGGTGCCAGAGGAAAGCTATGGCTGGGAGACTCTTCTCTAAGCAGCTCCCAGGCAGCAGTCCAACAAGTACCTGAGTCGTCTGGGCGTTCTACTCCATGTGGCTGTGCTCCAGCACTGAGAAGGAGAGAGGAAGGAGGCTCTGGTCTGCCCCTACCGCCACAAAATTTCTCAGTTCCTATTGGCTGGAAACTGGCCAATGGGAGCTGAGGGATTTTGCTGGGGGTTGGGACAGTGAGTTAATATTCCCATCCCTCCTCAACATGCAGAACAATTAGCAGCCAGCTGTTTAAAACAGTGTGAGCTGCTGTGTAGTGAGGGTGCTGGCGAGGTCGCCGTGCGCTGGATCCGGCAGCTTGGCGAGCTGAATCCGGCCTACTAGCCGCTTCGTGCCCACCCTGTCCTACTCTGTGTTTGGGCGAGAGGAGTCTGCAGATAAAAATCAGCCCTTCTCTCTTGTGGCCAGTTGTCTTGAGATAGCATCCCTAATCCTAAGGGTTCTTATCCCCTGTCCATTAATTTGTTTGAGCTTCTGACATGTTACACCTTTATCCCTTTTTGTCAGTT